GGCTGGGTGTGGGTGGGTGTGGGTGCATGTCTGTCTCTCTGTCTGTCTCACTCTCTTTGGCCCCTCTCAGATGCAGCAATGAGCACGTGTTTGGCTGATGCTCTTAAGAAGGGGGAAGGGAGGTCAATCTGAACCCGGTGCCAATTAAACAAAGGCAACGAGCGGGAGCCTCTCCCCTGAGCTAGGAACACTCACTCGCCCAGACGTCTTCTAGCTGTTTCTCGATGGCCCGGCAAAGCGGTGTGACCCTGGGTCAGCTGCCCCCTGCCCCCTCCCCGCCCAGGCTCCTCTTGGTAAGGGGAGGGCCTGGGCCAGGACAGCTCTAAAGCCAGGAGGTTTCTTTCACTCACCCACCCCACCCCTGCTCATCCCTGGCACCAGGGCCTAGGGATCTCACCTCCAAATACTCCAGCCCACCCCTCGGCAGGCCCCCACCCCGGCCTCTCTTGCCGAGGCACCTGCGCCAGCCTCGGCCTGGTCTCCTCGCCAGACTCACCCCCGAACAATGGTCAGGAGTCCGAGCACAGCTCCTCTCAGCAGAAATCCTCCACTGGCTGCCAACGCCCTTGGCCCATCTGGCCTGCCTCACTCACCTCAAAGGATCCCCTTAAACTCAGCCCTGACCTTGCCCACCTCTGGGGAGCCCCTGTGCCAAGGGCCCCTCTCAGCCTGTCTAACTCTTTTGTTCTTCAAGCCTCCTCCAGGAAGACCTCCATGATGCTGGCCTACCAAGACTCCCGTCCTAAGACGCTAGCTGATCCACTGTGCCTGCCCGGAGCTTAGGACTCCTGCCTCTCCCGTGCGGAGGTCCTTCCTGAGGCAGCGCGCTGGAATCCAAGACACCAGGCGCACCGCTCGCTGTCCAGTTAGGGCCCACTCCAGTCCCACGAGAGTCAGAGTAGAACTGCTCCCGAGGCGTTCTTGGCTGTAATCTAAGTGGAAGCAGCCGCCAGGGCTTTCTTCTGCGTAGCTGCTGGGCGGGTCGCAAAGGCCAAGCTGTCTGTGCCCCCGGCCCCCATGCGTAGCTGTGTCATGAAACGCAGAGGTGCCAGGGGCTTGGTGATGGTGAGCCCAGGCTGATGGTCCCTGAGCCCTGGACTCTAAAGAGAGCAGGGAACCCTGGGGGAGACAGGCGGGGAGCCCACACCTGAGCAGGTGATGCAGGAGATGCCCTCGGCGCTCAGGTTGTACTTGAGATCCAGCAGCACCTGGATGTTGGTGTCGGGCCGGAAGAGCAGCGGGGCCCGGCTGGCGGGGCGGAGCCGGCTGGCGAACACCAGGGACAGGATGAGGGTGGACACAAAAAGGCCTGCAGGGGACAAGCACAGTGGGTGGGCCGGGAGCCCCGGGAAGCCGGGCACAGAGCTGCTCCTTGCCTGGGGTGGGGGTATCATAAGGGAGGGGTGAAGGCCCCGCTGGCGAGGGGAGCTGCCTCTTGGAGCCCTGGCTAGAGGGACTGGCTGTGCTGCACGCTTCACTCTAAGCCAGTGGGTCTCAACCTTCCTCATGCTATGACCCTTGCATGCAGTTCCTTATGTGGTGGTGACCCCCAACATTATTTTCATTGCTACATCATCACTGTCACTTTGCTACTGTGATGAATTGGGCAACCCCTGTGAGAGGGTCATTCGATCCCCAAAGGGGTCGTGACCCACAGGTTGAGAACCGCTGCTCTAAGCTCTCAGCTAACACTCCTGGGGGGAACCAGCTGCCCTCCAGGTTCCCGAGGGTTGGTGTTCTGAAGAGCCTACCAGCCCTTTCTCCCACATCTGCGGGACGGCACCAGAGTGCCCAGGCCCGCAGAGAGGGACTAAGGGTGTGGTGTGCTGGCTGGGGATCAAACTTGCGTCTCTCGCACGGATGGCAAGAACTCTATCACGAGACCTGGCACATTCCCTTGATCCCTGCACGACCCCACACACCGTGGATGCCAATGGTGAGAGCCCGCAGCAGTGCCTGAGCACTCCCGCTGGGCCACATGCTTCCTGAGCTGCTTCACCTATGCTCCCTTGTTGAACCCTAACGGCTGCCTTGCGAGCTAGGTAGGTTTACTCGGGCCAGCTTGCAGAATAGGGTGCAGAGGCCCACGTGCTGGGCGACCTTGGGTGTATCCAGCACGTGGCAGCTACAGGAACCATGGCCGGCAGGAAGCCGAGGCCCAGGGTGTGAGACTCCGAGACTCGGATGGCTGGTTCACCTGGAGGCTGCCGTGTATGATGAGACCCACTGCCATCTTCTGAGATGCCCCACCTCCTGGTCACCCCGCTGTGACCCACGTTTTAGCAGCCAACCAGCAGGTTCCATCGCTGAGTGATAGCCTGTCCTTTGGAGGCAGCGGGGTGGGGGGTGTCCACTCACCCACGATGACCCAGCGGCTCTTGACGGCTGACCACAGGACCCAGTGGTGCAGCAGCTCCTGTAGTTGGGTGATGAGCTGGCCCCGGCTGCTCCTGTCAGGGGCTGGCTGCAGGCCCTCGGGGGGCATGGACACCAGGGCCACGTCTCCCAGCTCCAGCGACACTGCCGGGGCAGAACAGGGGTCCCTTGGGGTGAGGGGGACAGACCCCTGGCCACGCCCCTCTCCAGGGGGGCCGAGCTCTCACCTGGCTCTTCCTCCACGTTCAGCAAGGGGATGTCATCATCCAGGTAGGGGATAGGGCCCTGGGCAGGGCAGCCGCCGACCCGCTCAGCAATGGCAAAAACATCCCTGGGAAAGTGCAGCGAGCTCTTGCGACTGCAGCTCTGGTGGCAGCTAAAGGGAGGCAGAGGGGTGAGCCCAGAGGGTCTTGGCATGGGGGGGGGGGCTAGCCTCCCGACCCCCCAACAGAAGGGTCATCAGATTCCTGCGAGTCAGCCCCCAATTTCCTTCTAGAACCATCCACCCAGGCCATGCGGTCTTCCTTCCCCTGGGAGACAATGGTGGCAGTGGCCAGTACCCGGGGGGCAGACAACACCAAGAAGGTCGCCACCACCCACTGAGATGGTGACCAGGCAGGGGAGGAGAGCTTTAGCCTGGGGAAGCAGCCGGTCAGTCGTCCTGGGGAAGCAGCCGAGACCCTGGCTGAGTGTCGGGGAGGCGAGGCTTGCCTCACGGGCCGGGGTGAGAACACAACACAGTGAGTCTCACTGGCAGCACGTGCCAGGCCATATGCCACCAGGCATTTCTCCTTTGTCCACCACAGGTGACCCTGCTGCTATCTGAACTACGGTGGCACAGTAACATGCCAGCCGCCACAGGGCAACAGACAGCCTGCCACGTGGTGCTCAGCCCCAGACGGCAACAGACAGCCTGCCACGTGGTGCTCAGCCCCAGACGGCAACAGACAGCCTGCCACGTGGTGCTCAGCCCCAGACCTCCGCCCCCACGTCGATTCCGGGCCCTAACGACCCGGGAAGGGCTCCGGGGACTGTAAATCTTGACGGGAGCTGACAGCCTCACCCTGCTCCAGTGCAGTGGTGGGTGAGTTTGAACTGCCGACCCTGCAGCCAGCAGCCCAACACCTGACCCACAGCACCAGCAGGGTTCTGCTGGCACATGGCAGGTGATCCCTGTGGTAGTTACTGTGCCATCACCTTGCTCCTTCCCCGGGCACACGGGAGGCGCTCAGTGCAGCACCACAGGGCTTCTGGGAGAGGCCCGCACGGGCTGCACCCGCTCACCTGGTCTGACAGGATTGCTCCAGGGGCGCCAGGTACAGGCTCCAGAGGCCCAGGGCGGCGGGCATGGTGAAGAGCACGGCCAGCCAGCAGCAGGACACAATGAGGGACATGAACAGGCCGAAGTCGTGGACCGCCGGGATCTGGGACCAGGATGGGGAGGAGGGGGGAGGCGGTCAGGCCGGGTGCACCCCCAGGAGGAGGGTGGGGAAAATGGCTGGGATGGCAGGGCAGGGAAGACAGCTGGTGCCAGGTGGGAAGGCAGAGGGGCAGGGCCCAACTCTCGTGGGGGGGTTCTGGTCATCGGTGCTGCAGCCACTGCCTGGAGCCGGGCCCGGCACGGGGTGAGCGCTTGATAGAGGGAGGGGAGGAGGCTGCCTGGGACAAAGCGGGGTGTCACAGAAGAAAACCGTGGCATGTTCACAGCCATCATCGGTTTCAGCCCCGGCGAATCCACACGAGGAGAATGAGGCTCACTGCTTGTTCAGAATCTCAGCTAGTAAGAGGCAGGCTGGGATCTGACCCTAGTTCTGCTTGCTTTCAAATCCTATGCTGTGGATGTGACTCTCCAGGAAGCCCTGGCTAATCAGTGAGGTACCGCATGGCCACGTCCTAAAACCAGAGATCTGGGCCGACTCCCCTCCTTCTAGGTTCTGCCAGCACCCAGGATCCAGCCAGCCCCAATGACTCTCCTGAGCCCAACGCAGGGCAGTGGGACCGCGGGAAGAAGGCCAAGGGAGAGACGCAGTGGTACGAGGGCCAGGAGGTGAGAGAGCTCAGGACCAGGGGCTCGCAGACCAGAAGGCTGATGAAGGGCAACTGCCCAGGGGCCATCTCTGGTGCTCCGCCGGGAGACAAGCGGCCTGATTCACCAGCCAGCCTCTTCTGGTACCCTGTGGACTTGCACCTGCCCGCTCTGGCCGCTGCGTCCCCCCTCACTACACCTCTGCAGGAGATTGGTCAGCATCGCCACTTACAAGCTGTGTGACCTTAAGGAACTCACTGTACCTCTCTGGGCCTCTGTTTCTGTATGGAGAAGGTAGGAGTGGCACTTGAACCTTTGTCGTAGGCAGGTGCTGACTACATGTGAAAGCTGTAGAAGCTGACTCAGGGCGGCAGTTGTATTACTAGTAACCAGCATCAGGGGACAGAGGAGAACTGCCCCCCAGAGTTTCCAAAGCTGGACATTCCAGAGAAGTAGATCGCCACATCTTTCTCCCGAGGAGAAGCTGGTGGGTTTGAACAGCTGACCTTTAGGTTAGCAGCTGAGCTCCGGAGCCACCGAGCCACATGGGCTCCCCTAGTGAGCACTGATAACGAATGACACTTGTACGATTGTATTTCCTATTGTGAAGGTTTTGCTAATGGGTGACTCAGTGACAATGGAGTCCAGGGACATACCATGTGTCTTGGAGCAAAGGCTGCTTGGTGAAAGAGGAGGGGCACGGTGGGCAGGGCAGAGACCAGGGAACAGGTGTGTGGCCGAGGGAAGTGGCTGGGGCAGGGCGTGCGTGGGGTGGGCCGGCCACCTGGGAGAAGACGTTAGCTGCATAGGCGGCGGCCGTGGTCAGGGAGGTGAAGAAGGTGGCCTTGCCGGCTGTCTGAATGGTGTGGATCATCCTCAGCTGCGGGTCTTCCAGATGGGTGGCCTGGCGGTAGGTGTTGATGAACACGAAGACGTCGTCCACACCTGTGGGAGGGAGGCCCGGCCGGCCCGGCAGGGCAGGCTCTGGGTTGGGTTGCTGACTCCACAGATGGCCCTCCGGGGTCCACATCAAACCTGAGTGGCCCCCTGGGAGGGTCCTGCTTCTTGGTTTGGGGCTAACAAAGTCTCCTTCTACTCTGGCTCCACCCACAGGAGTCCAAGCCCCAGAGCCAGGTCCCTTCTAACTTTGTCCCCTTTCCACCCTTTCTAGATTTCCCCACATTTCTAACCCCTTTTGGCACACCTCCCTGCTCTGCCCACCCCTGGGGCCCCACCCACCATATGCCAAGGAGCCAGCCCACACCCCAACCATCCAATGCTTAGAGACTGCAGAACCCATCTTTTAGAGCCCTGTGGATGCTAAGAACTGCCTTCAAGGAAAAGGATCTCTTTGGGGGAAGGGCTAAGGTTTCCAAGTAGGAGGCCCACTGCCATGGCAACAGAGGCAACTCACCAATGCCCACTATCACAAAAGCAGCCACCCCGTTGAGGATGCCCAAGTACTGGACGCCAAACACCACGTGGTACAGGAAGAGTGCCACCAGGCAGCTAAGGCCAATGCTGGCAATCCCAAAGAAGGACAGGAACACTGAGAGGGTGAGAGGCACAAGGGGATACAATGGAGTGGGCTCCGGAGGGACACAAACTCTCTCTTTTGTTCTTGACCCCAGTGGGGTCCTGCCTCACCCCACCGTGTCTGTCCCACGGCACAGGCAATAGGTGTACTTCTCAGACTAAGTCATGTTGGCCACGTGACCTTGTTTTTGTAGAACTTAGCTCGAGCGCATCATTACCAACGTTGTACGTGTAGTGCATTTACTCTAGTTGGACTACGGGTCCCCCAGGGGTAAGAACTGTGTCTCTCCTGGGCACCACTGGATCCCCAGCACCTGATGGCCAATGGCACAAAGCCGGAGACCAGTAACTATCTGTTAGATGGATGAGTCGATGTCTTTCTCACTTGGAAAGGTTTTGCCAGCTCCTGTTCACCTTAGCAATTCAGACGGCCTGCTGTACAAAGCAGTGAGCAGCAGTTAGTGGACACAGGGCGGTGGCAGCGGGCCAGTGTGCTTGGCAGTGAACTGGGGAACCAACGGAAAGCTGCCTTGAGACTGTAGAGTGGGCTTCAGAGTTGTCCCCAACACCCCCAGGTTCTCCAGAATAAAGCCATCAGCAGGCAAGAGTTGACAAAGGTCACAACACGTTATGTGGGGTCCTCCGTGTGGGCCATTGGGGATGGCCCAACCTGCCTCGGGACCTCAGTCTACCTGCCTGGGGGTTGGAAGATGATATCTGAGCCCCCTCCCCACCCCCCGGCCCACTCCCCACTCTTAGATGCCAGATCAAGACCATTTCTGGCATCCTTGTGGAGGAGGCCACAAACCGAGGAGAGGAAGGGGGCTGGTTCCTGCCGGGTCTTAGGAGAAACCCTACCTGAGCAAGAGGTGAGAATGTAGACCAGGGCGGCGATGCAGCTGCTACTGATGAAGGCCAGGAGCATGTCGTTGTTGAAGGTGCTCCGCACCTCATAGTCAAAGAGGTCTGTTCCTCCGTAGAGAACCTGGACTTTGCTAGGGAAGGGAGGGTGTGGGGGCACAGAGACAGGAAGGCGATTAGAGACAGTCCTGGGAGCTAACCACCTTACCAGGGACTCTGTACATGAAGATCGCACGGGAGCTTCCAAAGATCTTCAAGTCCAGACCACAGCCTAGACCAATCAAATCAGGCTTTTTCGAAGGCAGGGCCAAATCATAGTGCTTTTGAAATCTCTCAGGTGATGTACCTCAAATCACTCGGGCGTATGATCAGGATTGAGAACCGTTGCTCTCTGCTGATTCAATTGGCATCACATTTTAATGTTATCTCCCAATGCTCAATTATCCAGAATAAATTTATAAATTAAGACGGACTCCCAGACACTTAGTTTTACAATGCTATTTACTTTGCACTTAACAGGAGTTATTTTTCATAATAATAATAAATTCTAACCTGGCTGGTCGAACGGAGTTTAAAATACACCGGAGTGACATCTGCCTCTGGCCCAGGGGCCCAACAAGCACTACTAGTGCTCTCCATGGAAACAACCAGGTGACGAGAAAAGACTTCAGACAAGACACTGGACATCCCAGCATGACACCAGCTTACCTGCTTTCACAGTGCCCAGGCATCAGTGCAGCCTAACTGCGGGCTACTGGGCACCCCCAAAAGATGGGGTTTACAGAAGATAATTGAAGAAATAATGACGGATGAAAATGCTAAACCCATTGATCCACGAAGCCTGAGCAATGGACCTCAAGCATAAAACCCCGAACTACAACGCTGCACTTCATGTTCAAGATCAAGAGAAAAATCTTAAAAGCAGTCTGGGAAAAACCAGATTATATAGAGTAACAAAGATAGGGGCGACAGCAGACTTGTCAGAAACAACATGAGTAACGAGATTGTGGAGCAGCATCTTTAATGAAGGAAATAATAATAACTTGAGTGTATCCCACTAGACTTTTGAGACTCTCTAGAACAGATTTGATGTAATGAACACGAATGACCAAAGACCACACGAGTTGCGGACGACATCAGAGCAACGTGCGTGGAGAAAGCAGGCCATTTAAGAGACCGGAAAGAAAGAGCAGCTCAAGGGGGATGTCCGCGGAGGCTCTGAAACTTGCCCTGGGACACAGAGCAGCTTGGGGGATGGTGTAAAGGGTGAAGTATGTTTTGAGAATGATGAGGGCAAAGAATGCTTTACACAATTGATGCATGTATGGATTGTGATAAGAGTTGTATGAGCCCCTAATAAAAAAAGAGAGGGAAAAAAAGAGGGGGGCAGAACATTTCAAAGGGCAGCTTGAGAGAACAAAGTAAAGCGTTATAATGAAATGTACTAAGACCTAAAGTTAGAAAAGCCAAATGGGAGAACACACATGGACCTTTCTCAAGTTGGAAGAACTAAAAAGAACAATCAAGGCTCGAGTTTCACTACTGAAGGATTCTATGAACAAAACATTGATAGATGTAGAGAAGAAAGAAGGAATGCACAGGCCCTGTATCTACAATAATTGACCTGCAATCATCTCGGGAGGGAGCATACGATCAAGACGCAATGGTATGGAAGAAAGAAGTCTGAGCTGTACTGAAGGCACTGGTGAAAAACAAAGCCCCAGGAGCCCAGGGCATTCCAACTGAAGTGTTTCAACAAGCTGATGTCCACTCCAGTCTGTAAAACAAACTGAAGACAACTACCGAACCAACTGACTGGAAGAGGTCCTATTTGTGAACAACCCAAAGAAAGCCGAGTCGATGGGATGTGGAAATCATCATTAGTACAAGTAAAATGTTGCTGCGGATAACTGAAACATGATTGCAGCAGCACATTGACAGGGAGCTTCCAGAAACTCAAGCCTGATTCAGGAGAGGGCATGACATGAGAGAACGCACTACGATGTCACATGGTCTTGACTAAAGGCAGAAATTACCAGAAAGATGTTTACTTGTGCTTTATGGAGTATGCAAAGGCAATTGGCTGTGTGGATCATAGGGCATCATGGATAACAGTGCAAAGAATGGGATTTCTCGAACATTTCATCGTGGAACCGGTATACAGACCAGGAGGCAGTTGTTCAAACAGAACCAGTAGAGACTGAGTGGTTTAAGAGCAGACGTCAGAGCGTGTCTTCTCACTACACACGTGTCCAACGTGTCTGGTGAGCAAGTAATTCAAGGAGCTGGAGCACACGAGAGGAACGTGGCATCAGGATGGGAGGAAGCTCATGAACAAGCTGCAAAACCCGGACGGCACAACTTTGTTTGCTGAAAGGGCAGAGGACTGGACTGCCCAAGATGACCCAAGCCTACAGCCTTCACTGTGGATTAAACCTCAGCTTGAAACAAAGCACACCCTCACAGCTGGACTAGTCAGCAGCACCGCGGTAAACCGAGAAGAGACGGAGGTTGGCAAGGGTTTCATTGTGCTTTGATCCACATCACCTTCCACGGAAGCAGGAGCCAAAGCCTGCTGCACAAGACCTCTTTGAAGTGCTCGAAAGCACAGCCGTCGCTGTGGAGACTGAGGTGCATTTGAGCGCCCACACCTGTGAAACGCTGGGAATGAATGAAGGTACGACGCTTGTGAATTACAGCCACGAATTCTATTCACGGAGACATATGTACTGAAATGTCTTTAAAACTTAATTGACCTGAGAACTTTAAAAAAATAATTTAAACCATTGAACTGTATGGTATGTGACTATATGTCATAAAATGGCTTTAAAATGTATATATATGTGTATATATATATATATATATACATATAATTGCCCATTAAAAATAACAAATGTCATTTGAGGTTTATATGACAACAATATAATAAAGTCCAGGAGTGGAGAAATGAGAGCATATTATATGATCCTTACACTACACATGAAGTGGCATCATATTGCCTGAGGGTACCCTAGTCATTTAGAGATGTATACTATAAACCCTAAAGCAACCACTAAGATAACAAAACAAAGAATTAAAGCTACACAGTCAAGAAAGGAGACACAGTGCGACAGTAAACCCCACCATCACCCAAAGAACCCGATTAGTCCCACAGAAGGAGGGACGAAGACCATGAGGGTCGTACAAATAAAAAAAGAAACAAGACAGACCATATTCATATTCGTAATTACATTACCATAATCATATTCGTAATTACATTAAATGTAAGTCATCTAAGCTTATCCCAACTGAAAGGCAGGGAGCGTCAGATTGCTAGGGTTAGGTCCAGCTGCTCACAAGAAATCTACCTGAAGTAAGATGACAAAGATAGGTCAACAACAAAAGAACAGAAAAAAGATAATAGTGCTGATCAAGAGAGCATGAGGGAACCTCTGGGGTGAAGGGCTCACAGATGTGTAATATGCCCCAAATAATGAAACTGAAACACGCCTCGTGTATTGTAGGCAGTTATGCATACTTTACTAAAGCTGTTAAGAAGGACAAACAGGACATTCAAAAGCCAAGGAGAAAGAAATTTATGATATAAATTTTGTTGGATTAAATAGCCTAATTCCTCTTTAATTCGAGTAGAACATTGAAAGTTTAATAATTCATTTATTTACTCACTCACATGTACAGCATTTGTACAGTGACTTATAGGTGTCACCCTAGTTGCTGGGTATAAAAATACAGATCTAAACTTTTCCCCCCTAGTGTATCAGGTAAATAGCTCGTGGGCGGCCAGTACTCCTACCTAGACCAGAATCCTCACAGGTGGGTCAACAGGTGACATCATCATAAACGGAGAAAAGGCTGACGTTGTCAATGATTTGTCTTGCGTGGATCCACAATCAATGCTCAAGGAAGCAGCCATCGAGAGATTAAAAACAAAAACAACCTGTTGCTTATGTAACTGTGCTGCACGAGCCCTCTTTAGGGTGTTGAAAAGCAAGGGTGTTACTCTGAGGACTAAGGTGCACCTGACTCATCTGCATGTGCAAGCTGGACATTCAGTAAGGCGGACTGTAGGAGAACCGATGCAGTGAATTGTGGTCCTGGAGAATGATGCTGAAACTACCATGGGCCACTTATAGGACAGACGAATCTGTCTCGGAAGAAGTCCAGCCAGAGCGCTCCTTAGAGGCGAGGATGGCGAGACTTGGTCTCACGTACTTTGGACGTGTGGTCAGGAGAGACCCGTCCCTGGAGAAGGACGTCAGGTCTGGTAGAGAGGCAGCAAAAGGGAGGACGGCCCTCCAGGAGCTGGACTGCCCCTAGCTGCAGCAATGGGCTCAGGCACAGGAACCATTGTGAGGCTGCAGGGCCAGGCAGTGTTCATTCTGCTGTGTCCACGTCACCTAACAACAAGGGGAAGCCCTCCAGAACTCCTGGAGGGCCAAGGGCAAGCGGGAGGGAGAGGTAAGCTTTTCAGGGCAGCAACAGCAGCTGTAGTTCTAAGTAGTCACTGACTGTTCAAAAGTGACCCGTAAAGTTCTGTCTGCCTAGTGGAAGGAAAGATCAATCTTCTCTGTTGGAGGAAAGCATCATTTGGATCTCTATTATTTTATACATAATGTTCATCACTCAGTAAAAATTAATACACATATCAACATACGGGGCCATATGAGCAGTAAATCAAGCCAAAGAGGAAACTCAGGAGAAAAAAACCAACAAAACAAAAGTGATTCACAGGTGATCCCTATATTGAAAATTAGCTGATAAGAACTTTTAACTGTGATTAATAGCCTTAGTATGGATTATAACTCAGTGGAAAGAAAACAAAACTCCTCATCACTGGACCGTTAGACAGGAGCATGATAAATGGAGCAAAATTGAAGTTGTCAAGGATTTTTGTTTTACTTGAATTCATAATCGAAGCTCATAGAACCAGCAATGAAGAAATCAAACATATGGTGTTGGGCAAATCTGCTGCAAAAAACTCTTTGAAGTGTTAAAAGGGCAAAGCCATCACTTTGTCACTTTGAGAACTAAGGGGCGCCTGACCCCAGCCACAGTGCCTTCAATCACCTCATCTGCATGTGAAAGCGGGGCGTGAATAGGGAAGCCGGAGAATTGAAGCCTTTGATTCTGTGTT